GGGGGGGGGGGAGGGATTTAGTGTTGATTAAACTTTAAAAAAAAATTCGACTAATAATATGATATGTTTTAAATATATGTTTTAAATGACAGGCACTACACAAAAAAATACAAAAATTTAAAGCAAAGAAAATGAGGATAGGAGGTGATCGAGGGAAAAAAAGGAAAAAAGAACGGCGTAATGTTGATTTTATATATTGCGTAATTTGTCATGTCACAAAAATTTTAAATCCAGTTAAAGTTTATTTTCTCAATGTGCAACGTGCAATCCGGGCAACGCACAAAACCCACAAAGTATTAGACTTGAATGTCGACCTGGATTAGACTTGAATGTCGACCTGGATTAGACTTTAATGTCGACCTGGATTAGACTTTAATGTCGACCTGGATTTCTTTGAAAAATATCTATCTGGATTTAGTTGTCTCCGAAAATCCTCCAACAAACCTAATATTTTGGGGGGAAAAATATTTTTTAAAAGGAAGAGGCCGAGAGTTAATGATATGTTAAGCAAATATAAATCCTTACTCACTCATTCTTTGTGAATAACCTCCTTAATATCATACTGAATAAAAAATATGATTGAACAAAAAAAGCTTGAACCCGTGTTTGAAATGCATAAACACATAAATACACAACATTTTCATTTCTGAAAAACACAGAGTTTTTAAACTGTTTGTTTTGCGTGGTTTGAGAGCGCCTGTTTTGTGAACTGAAATTAGACTGAAATTTATTTTTATTCACCCCCTGCATAATTTCTTAATGCTTAGAATGTATGCATTTCTGCTTTTATCTATCTATCTATCTATCTATCTATCTATCTATCTATCTATCTATCTATCTATCTATTTATCTATCTATCTATCTATCTATCTATCTATTTATCTATCTATCTATTTATCTATCTATCTACCCTATATGCTGTATATCTGCAGACACGAATATTATACAAAACCTCTTATTAGATTTTCTGCAAAGCGACCTATTGCCCCCCCATGTACCTTGTCGGATACCCCCCTCCCTGCTTTGATCCTCTGTCCCCCCCAGCAATACCTAGCCCAGGGGTATCTGAAACTACTAACTACCTTCCTTATTTTCTCCTGTTTACTAACTGAGTTCATATTAATCCGGTAATTATTAAGGGAGATTTAAGAAACATGAGACAAGTTTATGTTTTGAAGGAGGCTGCTATTTTGAAGCTTAGTCTCGAGTCTAATACTTAATTAATCTTGATTTTAATATTTAAAATTATTTATTGGGTTAAATGTTTAAATATCGTATAAGCAGGGAACGGATCATTCTGAGGTCCTTTTATAAACATTTAAAATTCGGTGTTGGTGATGAACCAAACCTCTGTGGAGTAAAATAAAGTAGATGTTAGTTCCACATTTATTAAAACTATATTTCGGTCTGGGTTGACCCTCGTCAGTTCTAACGATATAATAACCATCAAACAATCAAGGTATTATTGCTTTAAAAGCACTCTCCAAAAGTCTAAGATGTTTTAGAAATGCATGCTTGATAAGTTCTGGAGTTTCTTTTGTGACTTTTGAAACTATGCAGAGAGATGTTATCAGAATTTGTCTCTTTTTAAGATAAAAAAAACTCCGGTACAGCTGATTAAAGTTTTATATAATTTGAGAAACAAATCGATTAAATTTTATGAAACATGGTTAAGTGACAGAAATCAAATATATATTTTTACAACAACTAAACCCTTTATTTATATCCTCACTAAATCCTATATTTATAAATATTCACTAGATCCTATATTTATATATATTCACTAGATCCTATATTTATATATTCACTAGATTCTATATTTATATATTCACTAGAACCTATATTTATATATATTCACTAGATCCAATATTTATATATTCACTAGATCCTATATTTATATATTCACTAGATCCTATATTTATATATTCACTAGATCCTATATTTATATATTCACTAGATCCTATATTTATATAGTAAGGCCCCATTCACAAACGTACTCTTTAAACTTTTGTCTGAGCGGAAATGTTGGAATAATCCTTGTTTTTCTACTTGAAAATAAAATTTTCATCACCGCTTTTTATATAAAAATGGCTTGCGTATGTTTGCAGCAAGGATGGAAATTGTCAGAATTTATCTCTCTCAGATACTGGTGTTGAAAGGGTTTCTTTGTGAATCGGGTTTCACATGAAATTATGTCAAGAGTGCCGACAATTAATGATTCTAACCTGTTTATGTTTGAGAGGAGGAAGGATGGGAATACCTAAATTCCCATCATACCCAAACAATGGGGTTCTCTTTAACTTCCCAGACATAATCAATTAATCAATTAATCAATTAATCGATTAATCAACAGGTTCGAGGAGAATACACTTGATCAGTGATCAATAATTGATCTAAGGTCCACTGAAATAAGTTAGAAATTTTTTTCAATCAAAAATTATATATTTTTTAATTTAATAATTATAACCTACAATGACTCTATTTAGTCTCGGTTTTTAAACTTTTAAAAAATTCACCAAAAAAATGAGAAGTTTAAAAAATTTAAAAATTCTAAATAATGCTAAATAAACTTTGCCAAATTTTGAAACTGAGAGCAGATGCATAAAAAAACCTCAAACAATCGTTATAAAACAGTTTTTTTTGACAGGATTTTTTTGTATTTGTGGCGCTTTCTTATTGTCCTAAAACCTTTGAAAGTCTTGACAAACGAATCGCAAGTTATTGTGAAATGCTAGTCTAAATTTTTTTCCTCGAAATTTTTAAATTACTCTCATACCGGACCATCTATATATAAATTTGGCTTGTCTGTCTGTCTGTCTGTTTGTTTGTTTGTATCCAATAAACGTCAAAACGGCTGAACCGATCGGGCCCAAATTTTTTGTGGGACCTCACGGAGCCCCAGGGAAGGTTTATGAATGATCAAAATTTCAAATATTTGTCTCCATCAAAATTCGATCTTCATTAAATTTTTGAAAATTTTGAAAATCAACGAAATTTTTTGTGAAAATCCGCGAATTATTTTTGTTTTGTTTTACGATGTACACAAAGAGGACATGTTCACAATTAATTTAGAAGATGGACCATCTATATATAAATTTGGCTTGTCTGTCTGTCTGTCTGTTTGTTTGTTTGTATCCAATAAACGTCAAAACGGCTGAACCGATCGGGCCCAAATTTTTTGTGCGACATCTAGGGACCCCAGGGAAGGTTTATGAATGATCAAAATTTCAAATATTTGTCTCCATCAAAATTCGATCTTTATTAAATTTTTGAAAATTTTGAAAATCAACGAAATTTTTTGTGAAAATCCGCGAATTATTTTTGTTTTGTTTTACGATGTACACAAAGAGGACATGTTCACAATTAATTTAGAAGATGGGCGCAAAGCGCCCTGTAAGGCTAGTTCTTATTTATTTTTGAGTTCACCATCAACATCTCTATGAACAAATAAAATATATCAAACCATTTTTTTCCCTATGCATAAATTACGAATAGAAGATATATTTATGTATAAAAGGGCTAAGATAATTATCTTTATATTTAAAAACAAACTGTGACGTATTTTTTTTTAAATCATATTTTTTCACATTCAAATATTTCACAGACAATTTAACATCTTAGACCTTCAAAACACTTCTAAACGTTTAAACTATTTTAAAAAAATGTTTGTAGTAAGGATATTACTTTTAAACTCTTTAAATTCTTAAATATAAAACAGGTTAAAAACAAACAAATCTTTAAAATGATAAATTTTACAGATAAATAGTTGTTTTATATCTTTTATCGGAATTGATAATACTATTTTGAAATAAATAAACTTACACCTGATGAGAACCCTTCCCCCCCCCCCCCTCCAGTTAAAATTCCATGAGAAACTACTGCTTTAAGTCTGGTATCTTTTTACAGTAACCCACGTGGGAGTTGGCAGCTATGTTAAATAAAACGGAATCTAACAACATCAAATGCATATTTTTGGTCCGCCGCAACAAGCTTGCAAAAAGGAATGGTTTCACTAAATTATCTTCAGGGTACAAGGTGGAGTATTCTTTCACACATAAACACCAATTATGCTTTGATATTTGTTGTGTACATGTCAGAAAATTACTATTTTGCATTCGATAAAATCGCACCCTAATCTCTAATAGTTCTCCTTAAATCTATTTACTTGAAATGTGTTGTTATCATTATTGAAATTAGGTGGAAAAAAATAATCAAAACAGCCAAGAGCTTTTTTCCACCTAATTGCTTTTTACTTGTACTGTTAATATAATCATCAATTTGTAATTGTAAACTCGTTCTGTACACAGATACATGTATTTCAGCAATAAAATTTATCTTATCTTATCTTATCTTCTTCTTTGACAAAAAAGCTGATCAACTACATTAATAAAAAATTCTTGAAGCTATACTTTTCAACAAATAATGCAAGTTGCGCTTAAGAAATAAAATAACATTATTTAAACCAAATCGGTTTCCGGCGAATTTTTTTGCAAATATTTGCCCGAAATTGCGAAAACTGCACAAACATTTGTTTTCAGTGGAACCCAAACCCGCGAAATCTATCGTAAAACCATTGTTGTTTGACAGACAGACACAGGGTTTGGATAATCTGACAAGCTATAAGGAACATTTTTGAGTTGTAAAGTGGGCTTATACAATTGCTATATTTTAGTTCAAAAATTTTGGTATTCTGTGAATTTTGAAAACAATCACTTTAATTAATGACCATGCACCACACTATTTTTCAATTTAGTTAAAGGAAGTAATTGTTGTATTTTTCAGGTAATTTTCCTCTTCCCTTAATAGAGAAGATAAGACAATGGCGAACTGCAAGGAGAGGTTCGTGGGATTTATCTTATTTTCAACCGGTATCAATTGTTTCACTGTTTGATAAATGTTTCTGGCACCGAACATATGGTTCAACTGATTAATTGTGTAAGAGTGGAGGGTTGAACAGATCTTACTCCAAGGTAATAATTAACAAGCATCCTCATATTTGCCTAAAGCATTGGCGGCTGATAATGCCATTAATATCTGTAGGCAATTTTTCCTGGTACAGAAACAAATGTTCATTGAAGAACCCGCAATGTTTCAGGTTAATCCACATTATACCACAGTCGACCCATAAAACTGTGGAAGAACAAGACGACTTTTAGACTTAATGATCATGAACAGTCCAATGAATATAAAATACAGCAATAGTGCAGTGTAGACAGAACCAATTCATTTTATAAGTTGATTTTAAAAATACTGGTTAAAATATTTTTGCTTTATAACAAAATAAGATATATATAATATTGCTTAAATGTCGTCGTCCTGCTCAAGAGGTTTTATATTTATTTAAAAAGCTTAATTCATTTTTGAACTCTGTACTCCCCTTAATATCTAATCTTCAAATCCTTATATTTTTACAAACTGGTGTATATCGTTGATATTATTTTAGCTATGTTTTCTGCTAGATCAACAATTCAAGTCCATGATCCATTAACAATTTTTTTAACTCAAAAATATAATCATTCACTCCCGTAATTTAATATCTCAGTTTACAAAAACCTGTGTCCGAATTTAATGAACTTGAGCCGTGTCTTAAATCCGCCAAAAACCGATTTCAATTGAGCGCCGGCTTAAATCAACATTGAGTACAATTTTAAGTGAACCCAACCATATTTGAGCGGCGGCTTAAATTCAAGCCGCCGCTCAAATTCTTTAAATTCGGCCTCTGGTTAATTTTATTTCAAATTGTCAGAACTGAACAAGGTTAACATTCAAAAATCAAAGTTTGCTTTTTTATGGTGTCGATCTTTCTAAAACACAAACTTTTGAATTCAGTTTTAATTCAGAGCTGAAAACTTTAGAATGGTTGATATCGAGATTGATGCTTAAACTCCTGGTTTTACTAAATCCGAGATTATGTTAATAAACATTCGATATCCAAGAAAGAAGTTTAAAATTCAACCAATCAGCGTGTCAAGTTTAGATGCGCTCTTTAACTAATGATCAATTGAACGAACATAAGTTTTGGATTAGTGTTTATTAAGACTAACGTTCAAAATGACTATCGGCGTCAAATGTGATAAAATTTGTTTTTTAATAAATTTATATTAACATGATTAAGTTTAAATTTGTTTAAATGCTCTAAAAGCCCGCTTTTGAACATCTGACTTTAGTTCAATCGGATATTAGTCCAATCGATATCATCTCTGTGATTGTTACCAAAAGTAAATTTTTTCTACAGTATCCAAAAAGAGAGGATTAAGAAGAAAATCAAAAGTTTGTCCATTGGATACTCAGAATAAGTAATCAGGATTAAGGATATCTCATTCAAAAGTTGTCAGCTCAGGTTTGAAAGTATTGAATTTAAGTTTTCTTATCTCAGGTATAAACTTTCTTTAAAGGTAACTGGAATTGTGCAATTAAGTATAAATTTGCATAATTAGATGCAAATACTCAGATTCCTTGCTGCTAAGTAAACACAAGTTAAAATTTTTAATTTCAAATAAATTCAAATTATGTGCAAGCTTTTTCTTCAGAGCTCAATATTTTCTACTCTATAAAATAAATATCTAAACTTAACCATGACAAAATATTGAAGCTATTATAGTATACATAAAACTTTAAACACGGAATACAATTAAAGGGTTGAGCTTTTGCCACAAACTCTGATTTCTAATACCTGTATCTTTGCAACCCAATGTCGTAGACGTCAGATATTTAAACTAGGAATTCTGTTGTATCAAAGTATTAAACTATTAGGTTGAAAATATTTAGGGATTAGAGAATTTGAGTTTGTGGCAAAGACATAATTTCTTTATTTTTCTTTATTATAGGTTAATTTGTTACTCTAATTTTTCAGTATAAATACACTGCGCATCATTATATTTATATATTTTGCTTATAAAAGGACATTTTAGATTTTTTTATTTTTACAATAATTAGAAATCCAGGGGAACCCATACACACCGGACTAACCAGAGTTAGAGGCATTCGGTTTCTTCTATTTAAAATCCTACGCGTTTTGGTCTATAATTAAACAAACTTTAAACGTACGGATTTGTTTGCTTTACATTTTTCATTCAAAATGTATATGCTGGCAAAAAAGTATTTAAGAAAAAAGGCTAAAAAATTATGTTTAATAGGACAAATTGTGATTAAAAGTCACAACTTTCTGGAATTTAGAAAGAACCATTAAATAAACACAGGACTCACTGTAATAAACTTATTATTTTCATTTTTAGGTATTGTAATATGCATACATAATTTGCATTTTTGAGATTTTTAATTTTAATATTTGTTAAAATCATAAAATTCGATTTATTTCTAATTATTTCCTGAATATGAATGCTTTCTTTCACACGGGTTCATTCACATACATTCACTATACACTTTATTCGTAACCAACAAT